CAGAAGATGTCATAGGATAGAATAATACAAAAGAGTACCTGTACAATGGACTGTGCACAATGCTTCCATGAAAGAACAGCACCTTCCATTGAGGCGAAACACTTTTGCTTTGTGTAGTCACCTGCTAGATAGAACCCCTCTACGGAAGATCTTTGCAAAGGAGGGCATGGTTCACAATTTGGGGTGGTTTTGTATACAGACCTAACAAAATTTAGGAGTTATGTCAAGTAAGTGAACTAGAAATATAATAAAAGTTAAGGCTTGGTGGTGTTCAATTAGGATCATTAATAATATTTATACAAATGCACATCTACAAATAGAAAATAACGAGTTATTGCCACAATTACAATGTTTATGCACTACCATGAGTATATAGACAAAAAACTCTAACCATCCAGCAGCATTATAATTTAATTAAATGCATTTAACATATTCTGAATAACTAACATTTTAGTTTTGAGTCTAACCTTGGTGTCTTAACGACGTGATACTTTAAGATTTTTGCTTTGCTTTGATCTGCTGAGATTTCATCCGGAAAAAGTTTAGCAAGTTCCTTCATCGTAGCATCAATAATTTCGGAGCCGCTTCTTGAAATCCATTCTTCTGCAGGGGCAAAAACCAACTCCAGCATGCATTGGTTTGGGTTATAGTATTCCTGCGTAAAACATTAGAACATTAATTAAGAGGAAAAATAGATAAAAAGGCCTTCTTAATCACAAAAAATGTTATGTTGTCTTGTTTTTACTTGCAAGTAAAAAGGAAGAAATTCATATCAAAATTGCATAATTTTGTTAGGAAGGAGTAGAAATATTTAACTTGTGTTTAACTGCATAGTGCTCTATTAATAATTGAACATCACAAAAAACCATTTTGGGCTAATCAATAATCATACACAAGGAGTTGCAAACATCCATCATGCAGAGAAACATCAGCAACCATTTGGCTTAAAGAAACATAAGTTGAGGTTGAACAACAAAATAGATAGCCATCAATGACAATGTTTATCTTACATGTCACAGACATGTCAGCATACACACTTAGAAGGGGACTTCTGCAAGAAAAAAAGGAAGAGGATTAATAAGAAATTGGGGCAATAATTAGGGGAACAAGTTCTATCCAAATTAAATAGTGCAAATGTGAATTTTCAGTCCAATGACTGTGCCAGAAAAAAGGTGTTGTCAATTTAACACCAAAATCATTGTAAAGATGGGATTATTTCAGTTTCTGGATATATGGAAATGCTTAACCAGAATTTCATTAACATAACTTGCGGTGACATTCGAATTTGATTATATTAAATTACTAACAGATGAGAAATTAGTGTGCTTAGCTACTGCAGAGTTTGAAGTATGACCTTAACCCCAAAATTAATGTTTCCAGAAAGGTCTACCATCTTGTTGGTTTTTAATTAAATTAAGTTCTATTGACAAAAAATGTTAACGGGAAATAAAGATTCACAGTACGTCTAGCAAAGTACAACCTGTGGAAGAGTAAGTGATCATATGTGTTCTTTAGTTTTCTGTCAAAACTGCATATGAAGATAATCTGCATCAGTCAACCACTGGAATCACATCTGAATCATTAGCAGCAAGTATTTAACCAATCAGAAGTACAATCTCGAACCAAATAACCAACCAATAGATGTCATGATATATTTGCTGATATGACAAAATAAAAGAAGAATAAAAAGGAAGAGCAAGGGAGAAAACAGAGGAATAGATTGCAAAACCATGGTAAAATAATAGAGGAAAGCCAATTCTTCATAACTCTTCGAACCTATCTTAGCATTTATATATAACCAAAACCCTGATTCCAACATCAGCACTCTCTGACAAAATTACATGGTTACTTCTAATTAGTTCTAATAGAAACAGAAAATTAAAAATAACCGGATAAACTAAATAACATAATCCAATAATAGATCCTACAATTATATTAAAATTGCAAATAACCCAAAAAATCAAAATTCTTAAATAATCCCATCTAGCATACTAATTTCTAGAATGATTTCCCATGACCTCAATATCTTGCCAATTCTCCAAACAGGGGATGTGAGGTGACAGTAAATGACCCATTAGAGTCCCAATATGCAGCTAATATTCTCTCCTTTACGTAAACATGGAGTCATAATATAAATGCCAAGCATCACCTATCATCAACGTTCACTCACGGGTTGTATGCATGTGTATCTTAGTTTCTGCATTATAATCTGGACATAAGGCTCAACATTTTCACACATGCTCTTCCATACGTCACACAAGCATTCACATTTTGAAGACAGTCTCAAGAGTGAAATTGCAGTTGGACAGATATGAAGGATATAATATATTGTTAGTCAATAGCAATGATGTTAAAACACTTAAATGCAAAATAGATGCAAAAAGTTCCATTAAACACAAGAAGGGTGAGGGGAGAGGGGAAGGAGGTAGAGGGACAGAGACACACACAGAGAGAGAATGACAACCAACCATATGTGAGTATTAATGGCTGAAATAAAAATAAAAAATAATAAATAGATCTAAAAGTATTTAAGAATAGTAGACAAAATAGAAAATAATACAAAGCTACTAAATTGTTTATTAAATTAAACCAGATTGCTATGGGTGAACATTGAATAGAATACATCTGTTACTTTTAAATACTTTATTTGTTTAGGTAAGTATCATACTCGAATTGTAGAAAATATGAATAAGTAATGGATATAAAAATAATATAGTTATAAATATTAAATTAAGTAATAAATATTGGAGTTCAAAATTATTTACTTGGCTTGTTTAGCTGACTTATTTAACTTATTTGTTACTTGTGTAATTAAAATTTTACATTTATTTGTTCTCCTTAATATATTTTA